GTTACGACGGCGATCACGAAGTTAATCCCATTGAAAATAATCTACAAGAAACGATTTCAAATCGCGAAGGTGCGAAAACGAACATGTGATATAACGATATAAGGTCTCAAAAGTGATTCTGATTCTACCGCTCATCAGTCAAGGCCGTCTCAACATAACGAAACAATATCGTCTTCCACAGCGCGAGTTGGCATCGGAACGTAAGAGAAAGTCCTTGCGTGTATCGCTATATCGTTATATCGTCTTCTTCACTCGACGGCTTAAATCAGATTTCTGATGCATCGCTTGGAATGAAAGTTGCTGTATCGGTTTGCCGATATAGGCGTCAAATCGATATGTCGCGATATATCGATTTATAGCTCAGTCCTAATCCTGACCATTCCCATTGGGCTAACGTGGGAACCTTTCGAGTTTTTATTTCTCATGTAAAGCGAATGTGGGTTAATTCTATCAGAAAAGTCCTCCACAAAGCCCATTCCTTAATCCAGGAGCTCCCTAGTCTTCTGAATTGGATTCAAAATTACAAGGATACGTAGTTGAACATTGATAATCGTAAAATCAGAATTGGGTGACCTGTTCAATGCCGGTTATGAAATGAAAATCCTGGGTTTAGAGTCATAGTGGTTCAGGGAATGGAGTGTTCGTCTCCCATTTAGGTGATCCAGTTTAAATCCTAGCGGGGGCTGGTATACTAACTGTGAGAGGTTTTCGTTGTTCGCTTTTCCTTGTAACTCAAATGTGTGTTAGTTCCATCGAAATTCCTCCACAAAGGATAGTTTGTTCCTATGCTTGATCTTGTGTTGGATTCAAAATTACTAAGCTCTGGAGTTTAACGTTGATCCTAAATTCATAATTTTGTCTAGTGTTCAACTCCAGTTATAATATAAAATATTGATGTAAGTCTTTAATTTTCGTCCTTCTAAATAATGATTACGACTACACAGTAAATAGAACACTGTAAGCTGTAAATTCAATACGGATCGGCAGTTCAACAACGGTGATAACATTCTGTAAAGAGTTTTATATTAAAAATATGTGTAATTCAGCGAATTCCTTTTAATTAGAATTTTTTAGTTTTTTCAAGGAAACCTGAAAACCATTAATAAAGTAAAAACTATAACCAATTTGAAACCTTTCTAGTGCAATAAATGTAATTATTTTCAAACGCAGAAAAAATAACTTTCTATTTTCGATAATATTGATTTAATTTCTTGTAATTTATATCCATAGATAAAGCATCGCATTTGATGTTTTGAAATTCAGTTTAGTTCTTAAACTTTTCTTGTTAGTAAAAAGTCAATTATTACTTATTCCAATAATTACTGCATTTAGATTTCATCAATATTTTTAAAGCAATTTAAAGTAACTAAAGACGTATCATTTGTGCACTTACCACCAAGATTTAATTCAGCAGAGCCCTGAGACATTCCAAAATCATTGGTAACGAAGCACTGATACATGCCCTTGTCCTCTCTAACTATTGGAGCTACTTGAAGAAGATCTCGGGATAAGTATCTGATTCTGCTGTTGGCGACAATTGGGTTCAAGTTCTTAACCCACGTTACAGAGTGGATTGGGTGGCCTTTAATAGAACAATTGAATATTATCGATTCTCCTTCTTCTACTTTGACTTGCTTGGGAGTAACGCTTACTTTCAGAGGAGCTGAAACATTAGACAGTTAGTTTTTAATACAAATAATAACTAAAAGGACTACTTAATGAGTAATAAGTTTGTGCTTTAGCCCTAGAAATATATATTTAACTATTTAAACTTTGAAAAAAGTATCGCTTATAACGAAGCACAAGTAACGAAGGGCAAAAGTTTAAAAAGGAACGTCCTTCTATCCGATATCTTAGCTCAAGCTTCAAAACAAAAATTGAGCAAAACAATCCTCAACACCCTGAAGGCCGAAACTTTTTAAGGTAAAATCAATTTTTATCGTAAAAATTTATGAAACAAGAAATTTGTGATACTCTAATTTTTACTGTAATATCTACTGTAAAAACACTGAATTATTGTAAATAAATAAATATCACTTTAAGAATTATTTTAACATTTTGGGGTAAAAATAAATTTTACTGTAGAAATGGATCTTACGGCAAAATGGGTATTACGGATGTTGCACTCAGGTGCTTTTAACCGTAATTTAATTCATAGTTTTTTCAGTGTAGGGGAGAGTGGGGTCAATTGTAACATTTTTTACTTAACTATTTTTAACTAACAAAAAATCCAATATATTATTAGTATTAATTGACAGACGAGTAAAGTAGACTATCCTCTACTAGAAAAAAAATAAATACCTTATTTTAAATGTTATTATATTAGTTATTAACAATTTTTGACAGTCGTGCACTTGTTACAATTGTCCCCACTTACGGGGTCAATTGTAACAGTTCATAAATTCAACTAAAACATAGTTAATTATACATATTATCATAGTTGTGATATATTTTTTTATTGATCAAAATAGTAGTGATATTTTAGGAGTAAAAATAATAATGAGCAGAGACCTAAAGGGTTAAACTTTTAACTTTAAGGGGTTAAAAATTTTAATTTATGCTGTGAAAGGTGACAAATAAAATAATGCACATGCAACATAATATAAATGATATAGGAAACTATTGGTGGTTCTTAAAGAGTTAAGTAATGGTTTGTAAACATAAGATTATTTATTTTCAGCTGTTACAATCGTCCCTTTACTTATTGTTACAATTGTCCCCAAGACGCCATTTCAGCTTCATTTGTTAAAAACAATGCTAGTTAATTAGCAAAACTAATCTTTTTTTTTTTGAAATGTTAATTAAATTGTCCACTTACATATTCGGTTAATAATTTTTATTTGTTTAAACAAAATTACTTTGTTACAATATAATATTCTAATACCAAAAAAAGTACTTACGTAGCGTGAAAATATCTTTTGTGATGTAACTCTTTCAAAAGTACATAAAAATGGTTGCCAGCAGGGGTGTACATGTAGATTTATTAAATACACCTTGTGCGCCACCTAGGAACCAAATCTAGAACCCGACACTCGAAATTTTTGCTCTGTTACAATCGTACCCTGTTACAATTGACCCCACTCTCCCCTACTTATAAAGATAAGTTAAGGATTAATTTTGCTTAGAAAAGAATTATATATAATTTTAAGAATTCGATGAAATTTAAAAGCTGTAAAACAGCTATTGGAAATGATAGCATGTCAGAGCTGATTCTGAGATGAGTTAATGCAGAGCTGATGCTGTAGTAAACAACTGATATAAACAAGTTTACAAGACAAGTATACAAGTACAAGTATGCAAGTACAAGTATGCAAGTACAAGTATACAAGTACAAGTATACAAGTACAAGTATACAAGAACTAGTATACAAGTACAAGTATACAAGTACAAGTATACAAATACAAGTATACAAGTACAAGTATACAATTTTCCTTTCACGAAAATAAAGCAAAAATTAAGTAGATTTTAAACAGGTTTAAATGTAATAAAATTTAACTATTGTGAACAATTCAAATAGTTTTAAATTAGTTATTTATTTAGTTAGTTTTAACCCAGGTATTTAGAAAATTATCCCCAAAAGAATTTTTTACTCAATTATTTATTAAATTATCTATCACTTTTTGTACACTCCAAATTTTAAAAAATTTCTTAAATTTAAATTCTTTTCTTAAATTTGATTTATTTATGTTTTTAAAAAATTCATTTTAATGTGTACTTTTTAATTTTTGCTATTAAAGTCGTTTTCCTTACGGTTACTCGAAAAATATTTTTACATCCGTTTCTAAATAATTTAAAATACACTTCAATTTTTTAAAATTTAAATACATGCAGTTTTTCTGAATTTAAACATCAGTATTCATAAGAACAGTAATGTTTATTTTCGAATATTACTTTATTATTAGATAGATACTCAGATAGTGGTCAACTTATAAAGCAGAAATTATGTAAAATAACTTCTTCCAAAATTTTTTTTTATATTCTACAACAATGATTTCAATTATTTTATTAAAAATATATTTCGTTAATTCTAAATAAAACAAAAAAATACTACTAAAAATACTGTTCTACTTATAGATATTGAAATCATATCAGTAAATTTAAAAATTGTTTTTACGGCATTTTGTTTTAGTCGAATAAGAAAAATGAAATTAAAATTCAGTTTAAACAAAAGACTTTGATTGATTTTCTAAGATTCTTCTATTCCTTTCATGACAATTTAAGATTCAGTGGTTATTTTCTGACGTGAATTAAAAGGAATTCAATTAAAATTTCCTTATTTTTCCTCGATCATTTCAAGCTTTTTCATCATTATTTTAAAGCTTATAGTGTTTCGATCAAAGATAATTCTTTAATCTTTGCATTAAATGATTTCTATGATTCTTTTGTTTGCTTTTCGTTATTCGTTCGATTCAAAGTTCAAATGCTGAGTTAATCAATCAATTTAATTTCAAGATCTGAAATTAATTCCAGACGAGAATAATTGTTTCTTTATAATATTTGTCATTTAAAAGTTCTTCGTATAAATAATTACAATAAAGTCATTTGAATCTATTATTTGCGATTAAGGAAATAACAATTCTAAAAAGACGATTCTGAAACAGTTAAAATTAAAATTAGAAATATTTTGACCGCATAATGCTTTCGGACTTTTATTTTAACCGATTACCGCTCACTGTATCAGTAGTTAACATATAACTTATTTGGTATATTGTGATTAACTTTTAATTTGATGCTTTGATGTTTGAGATAGATGTCTGTTTTGAGATATTTTTTTAAAAACTACTTTAGGAATGTTATATGCTTCCTTTCATTATGCTATAAATATCTGAACAAGTAAAGTATTAGAAATTTCCAGTAAAAGGGTAAACTAAAATTTAAATTATTTGTTTTTATACCATATTTAATCAAAACTGGTTAATGATATAAAAAAAAGGTATTTAAACTATTAACTGCGAGAAAAAACCTTTACTTACTGCTTTCATCTAATATGGTTAAACAACCAGAATTTTACTCGTGCCAGCTAGGCCCACCTTATGAAACCATTTAATTCCTTGCAGATGGGCTTACACTATAGTCGAGAGGGTAAATCTGTAACTGATTATGACTGACTGAGACTCAGTCAGTCATGACATGAATTGTTGAACTAGAACTACCAGAATACGAGCCTTTCATTTACGCACAAATAGCAACAGAAGAGAGCTGCTTAAAATAAAAAGTCTAGTATGTCCCATTCTTGTACGATAGATGGCACCACCAGATAAACAATTAATCAAGCCTTTTATACGGTACATTTCACAAAACACAACTCAACCATCATAACTTAACGCTACGGTTTATTACCTAATGAAAGGTTTAACTCCCTTGTCCTTACTTAATGAAAGGAAACAGTTCTGAAACCATTCTAGTTGTAAGTGGTAATAAAACCATAAAGATGAAAATAATGTTCCTAACAGTAAAATTTGTAGTTAATTGAATGAACAAACTGCTGCGTTTTATTTAACTGTAATTTTGGAATAAAAATATTACGGCGTATTATTAACCTCAGATTCAATGTAATTTTTTTTACTTAAACACAATAGAATTTTTAATTATTTTCCAAAGTCGAAAAATAATGTAAAAATTTTTTCAGAAAATTTTAGTTCTTCGCAATTTCCTGTTCAAATAGATTTTTTCGATTACACCTGCAATAATAATTTTTTTTTCTGTATTTTCTAATTTCGTTTTCTTAACATTGTTATATCGATCTTGCTTTTTACATTCATCCATTCATCTTCGCAGTTTTTTTTTTGTTGATGAGTTGGCAAATATAGAGCTGGTACTTATGCTGTGATTTGCATTATTTTTCGTCCAGTAATATCATTTTTGCTTATTAATTATTTATTACATTGGAGATAGTTGTTTATACCAAAGGCATGTACGTTTAGGTTAAAAACAACGATGAATTATTGGCTCTCGATTGCTTAAGATTTTGATGAGTTATGAGAGAGTTTGATATACTGTGTATATTTTAGGGAGGTGAGGGGGGCTCGAGATAAATCTCTTTGTTAGAAATATTGATTTCTATTTTAAAGAATCAAGATAATTTTTGGAATTTTTGGTAATTTTCTTAGACCGGTTAATGACTAGATCATTAATTGTATATCTGAACAAATCTTTATTAATGTTTTTAGTTCCTTCCACTTTAATTTCTCTCTAATATTTTTCATTTTGGATAGTTATGATTTTGGTCTTTCTTTGCGGTGGCTGTGCTGATAATTTTAATTATTTTCGTATATATATATATATATACTCTNTATATATATAAGAGCAATATTATTACTATTCATACTATGTGATTACTCAATACTAACGGCATATTTTTTTTTCATTTTTTGTAATTTAATTCACAATAATTGGTGAAGAATGCTGTTTGCGATACATTTCATATGAAAAACACCTTTTAAAATTGTATAGTGTTTTAATGTATTAAATTCATATTTCATATAATTCAGATGTTATTCATATATTTCTTATAATTTATATATTCATTTATTTACAACAAGATATTAAAGAAACTTCGAATTTAAACAGTAAAGATTTAAAATTCTTAATCAATAATAAATTATATGTTTTTTTTAAAAATTTTAATCTCGAAGAACTATTTAATTTATCGGAAATTTGCTTGAGAAGAAATATATATTATTTAAAAAATCTTATTTTAAGTACAACAGAGCACTGTTAGAATTTTCTTTCCAAAATCACGATAAAAAAATCCGATAGCAGTCTAATAATAAACTTAACCTTAAAATTTACAGTTAGGAATATTTCTTCACCTTTACGGACTTAAAACCGTTTAAAACTGACATGGTTAAAAAACCACGAAAGCAAAACTATACAGTTCTGTAATAATTTACAACTAGCATGGTTTCAAAACCATAAAAAAGAACTTTAGCAGGACATTGGAGTTAGAATTTACGTTAGGTAAAGGATATTGAAGTTATGATGCGTTTGTGTTGTGTTTTGTCAAACTAACAATGAAATGTAATTTTCTTCTAGTGGTATAAATCTATCGTGAGAGATTGAATTACTAGACTTTTTTGTTCCTGTCTAGGGTCCCCAGATGGCGAGTGCGGGACACAGAAATCTTTTCTTGTGTTGAAGGAATGGAAGAAACAATATGGTCAGCCTCCATCCAGTCAGTTATGAAATTTACAAGTAATCCCTCTCAGCTACATTATGTATACAGCTGAAAGGGAATAAGTTGTTTTACTAAAGTGGGCTTTGTTGGTGCGGATAAAATTCTGGTTTTTTAATCGTATTAGGAGAAAACAATTATTATACAATTTTTCTCATTGCTAACCATTTGATTACCATTTTTCTTATGGTTTTTAGACTGTTTTGTTTGAATATTGTAAAATAACAAGTGTATACATTGCTATTTTTCAATTTTTTTCAGTAAAATTTTTAACATTAAGTAATTTAAAAAATAATTTTTTTTTTAGATTAATGTTGATTTTGTTGATTTTTAAATAAAAATGTTTGTTTTTAAGTTTATTGTAAGATGTAACAAATAATTTAATGACGAAATGCAAAAATTGTAAAGTAAAGTTTAATCAAATTTATGTATAAATTATCGATTTTTGTGTTTTATTTTAAGCATAGTTGGTTTCGGTAGATCTAATAGACTCAAAATTATTAACAGGTTGAACTGACTGAACTGACCTTTTTCCGATAAAAACAATAACGATATTTTAGTTGCTATTAGTAGTATGATTATTTATCTATTTTTTTGTTGTCGTATGCCTGTTTTAGGTAGAGGGGGTGCGATTGTTCTTGCTTTTCTGTGGCGCCATCTATGGCCAACAATTCGACTTCTGCCACACCATTCACACAACCACAATCCCGTTTATAGGGTCGCATTCACACACACAAAGGAGAAAGGACATAGATCACACAGAGAGAAAGAAACATCCATGCCTTGCCCGGGATTCGAGCCCAGGACCTTGATGCAAGGACAGTTCCCTGCCCCCTACACAGGCCGGTCGGCATTTATCAATTTAAAAACATGAATTCTAACAAACGTAGATAATCATAAATTCTCTGTGCTAAGATGTGCTAATTACATGATTAGAAAATATTTTCAGTGGAAGAAAATACAAATGAAAATACAAATTCTGTCAAATGTAGATAATCAAAAATTCTTTTCTTATTCATTACTCAAGGTTTGGTTTGTGCAGTGTTTGATAAACGGATAAATTAATGCAACATGTAAATGCATTTAAAAGTGTTCATGTATTATGCGAGTTATCAAATATTAAAGGTATCAAATCACTTAGGAAATTATAATAATTTTTAAATCTTTTTTTAATGATCTACTAGTGTGTATGTTTCGAAAATATTTCTTAAATAGTTAACTTTTTTAAAAATAGTTTAAAATAGATGTGCTAATTACATGCTTAGAAAATATTTTCAATGGAAGGAACTTGAAAATACAAATGATGTCACACGTAGATAATCATAAATTCTTTTCTTATTCGTTACTCAAGATTTAGTTTATGTAGTATTTCATAAACCGGTGAATTACTGCAACGCATAAATGCATTTAAAATCGTTAATTTATTATTTATTGGGACTTATTTTAATCAAGTTTTAAAGGTATCAAATCACTAAAGAGATCATAATAATTTTCAAATCTTCATTTACTGATGTGCTATGGCGTATATTTCAAAGATATTTTTTAAATAGTTAACTTGTCGAAAAAGATTTTAAAATACATATGCTAATTATATGCTTAGGAAATATTTCCAGTGGAAAGAAATAATATCTTAAATAAATTTACTTTTATGCTCTTGTGGAGCATATTTAAAATTACGAGATTTGAAGTTGATACAGTGAGGAATTTTAATTAAAAAAGTAAATTACAGTCAATGACAAAATTTCGTCGGATTTTAACCTGAAGTCCCCGAAGGCAAATAATTTTGTTTCCAATTAGAAAAGGTAATTAAGAAGTTAATTAGTTAATACACCGTTATGAAAACGTAGACACGCAAATATTTTATATTTCTAATTAAATATTTGCTTTTAAAAATTACATGAAAACAAATATTGATTTTGAGAATAAAGATATAGTAATTTGTATTGTTGGAAATCGATAGTTGGATTTAATGTTTGAGATAAAAATTTAGTAAATCTTTTTTGAATAAATTTTTGGGAGCAAAATGCTTAGTTTATTGAATAAATAGTTTAAATATTTAGGGTACATAGAAAAGTAAATTATTTGCATTCAGAATTTTTTTTCTTAGAATTCAATAAAAAGTAAACTTTTTGAGATAACTTCAAAATTTTAAAATTAAGTTTGTTGAAGGAATTTTTAGCTTGTTCCTTCGTTCTTTACAATCACGTTTAGTTCCTTTACTCTAAGTCATCTTGGATTTTGGAAAAATCTGAAATTATAATCTTTAGATCTTGGATCAGTCTAAAACATATTTTTTACTAAGTCTAAATTTATAGGAATCAGACTAGCTCCGTTTTTATATTCTGGTGCCCCATGGAACTATTAGAAATGAAACTCTCACTTTTGACGAATCCTTGAGCAGTATTTCATTAATTTTGAGAATCATTTCGAAAAGAAATCATGTGGTTTGTGACGACACGTGAACTCTTAAGTATATGACAAAAATATTTCCTCAACTTGAAATCTCGTTGCAGTGCATTGTTAGAGATTGTTAAGTAGAATGACGAAACTAAAATAAAGATCAGACAATCAAAAATAAAGTGACGGATTAAGCTGACCGGTTGTATGGTGGTCAAGGAGTTAACTGGCAGTTTATTCCTCGTGCAAGGAATATTCGGGGTTCTGATCCCGCTTCGGACATCGATGTAGTCCATCGATTTGTCCTTGTTGTTTTGTGCCACCTGTGTGGTGACCACGTTAAAGTAATTATTAGAGAAGTTAGATTTTTTTCAACATTTAGATTTTTTAAATTTTTTCAACAAAAAGAAAAATTCTTGCCTAATGTATATAAGTAACGATAGTTATTTCCTCACTGTCACGTAATTTTTGGATTATAAGCCAGGAAATGGTTTCATCAAAAACGAAGGAATTTTTGTGACATTTAAGTTTCATTTTCATACAGTGTACTAGATTCTGAAGCAATGTTCAATCCAAGTTTTTGGGTTTGTCTAAATAGTCTTTGGGTAAATAGGAAAAAGTCTAGAACAGTCCTTTGGTCTAATTAGACATTCAAAGAATCATATTTTTTTCTCTACTCCTTAGCTTTATGAAAAAGATTGCATGTTGAGAACAAAAAGCAATGGAATTTACTCCTTTTAAATTAGTTATAACCAAATGCGTATTAAATCAACAAATAATTATTTGTGAAAAGTAACGCTACTGATGTGGTTTTTATAATCAACAATCAAACTATGCATTTACTTGTTTAAAACTTCATTCGTTTCAAAAACATACAAATCGAAATAACAGTCGGCATGTTTTGAGTGCCTTAAAATAGACGTCCATTTTCAAGACTTGCCAGACGTGAATGAGAAGCTCCAATTGTTGAGCAACTGTTACTTTCGATTTGTATATTTTTGAAGCGAACGAAGTTTTCGTTGGATGGTTCTAATGCCACTTGCCACAGGGGCAAACCTGCTTGGTAAAACAGAGCAAATTTAAGGCAGAGTGTGCGATTCCTGTTTTTCAGTGGCGCCAACTATGGCCAAGAATTCGACTTCGCCACATCATACGTCACACCTGTTTATAAGGCGGACCCATTCATGCATCCATTCATTCATCCACAGATTGTAATTTTGACCAGAATCAGAGAACGATCTCCAATCCAGTACCCCCAGAGGTTTCGATTTGTCATGGGAACACGGAGGACTTTTGAGACTCGACAGATTTAACGTGCATCAGTCGCTTTACAGCACGGGGAGTCTTCGGCCGGCGGGGTTCGAATCCACGAACTCTCGGACATGGGCTTAACGCCCTACCGACCAGGCGATCCTGGCCCTAAATGAGTGAAGTTCTTAAGCAAGTAGTAATATCTTTCTGCTTCAGTTTCTTGGGATTATTTATTTAATATGCATTTACTGTTTAACCATGCATTTTAAGAATTTCGTTTTAATTTTATTTCTAGGATTAACAAAGTATATTTACCAGCAATTAACAGCTCTGTATGAACTCTTTCATCGGCAACGCTGTTGTTCACGTAGCATATATACTTTCCACTGTCTTCTGGTTCAGCTCGTCGGATGATGAGCGTACCACCTAATTGAACATAACGTTGGTTTTTTGCCAATCTTAAAGCTTGACTCTTTTCAAATTTTAACCAATGAATGGAGGGAACAGGATAGCCTTCAGCCGCACAAGGCAATTCCACTGTAGTACCTTGTTTGCCAATCAGGCTGGTTTTTCTATCAATGATTCTGGGTGGAAATGTACTGTGGGGTTCTGAAAATAAAATTCAAAATTACAACTCGCTAAAAATAAACATATTTACTTACAGCAATTTAATAACTACTTTTTTAATGCTTTTTTGCATTAACATTCCTAAAGAAATAATAACTCCATTTTAATTTTGAATTTTTTTGAAATAAATATGAGTGCCAAGACGTGGTATGTCGACAAATATATATAATCAGGATTCAAAATTTCGAGTAATGCAATGAAATGTAAAGCTATAAAATTGTGGGAAATAAATAGAAAATACACTATTAGCAAAGTATAAAGAGTGACTTACTACAAAAACAGGCATGAAAATTAATATAATTATTGTCAATCATTTTTATTCTTAACCTCAAATACATTCATTGAAATGGCCAAATGATTGATTAATCATATAATATACAATAGTTAAAAAATTATATAGTGTCATAATGCACCAAAAATATTTTTTATGGAATTCAAAAATGGTTTTTTATTAGCCATAAAAAATAACAACGCCTGAGTGGATTTAGAAATCTGAAAAACAACGTTATATTGTTGAAATATCTAGGTCTTAAAAGCATCAGATGATCATATAGTATAATTTAATATAAAGTAATTAGGTCTTATCCGTTATTGTATATACTGTCAGAATTTTCATTCGAAATTTATGGTAAAATAACAGGCTGCAATTTGTCCGTTTGACCAACCACAAAGTTTATAGTATGGAATATATCTTCGCCCTTACGGTTTTAAAACCGCTTACAACTGGTATGAAAAAGATGTGAATACAAAACTATGCGGTTTTGTAACTATTTACAGCTAGCATTGATTGAAAACCGCAAAAAATAATTTACCTGGACATTTGAGTTAGGCATCATGTTGGGTAATGGAAAAAGGGAGTAAGGTTGTGATTGAGTTGTGTTTTGTGAAGTGAACTAAGGAATATAATTTAAATCTGGTGGTGCAGCGTACCGTGAAGGATTGAAATATTCGGCTTTTGTGTTCCTGTCCAGGGTCAACAATATGGGAGTTGAGTGCACTGGAAATTCTTCACGTGTTGAAAGAACGGAAGAAACATTGTGGTGTTAAAACTGGGGTTCGAATCCCCAGTCAGCCATTAAATAAATTGTTAGTTAACCATTTTTTTCGAGAAAATTTGAACAGTGTAGGGGTCACCTAATATAAGTTAAAATTGCTTTAATTGTTTATTTAGAGCAGTATATTTTGAATAACATTTGGATTACTTTTTATTCGCATATTTAGTTTACGTAAGCGTATAGAAGAATAGTTAATTTTAAGACTTGAATTAACAAGAATAAAACGCTAACCAATGTTTAAAGAAAAATAATGAATGATTTTACCTTATTAAAACTTTGGATAAAATATTTGGCCATGACTAAGGATGCGAATTTAACTATTCTTCTTATCTCTTACCATAGCTTCAAGCATACATAATTAATATCATTAAAAATAGAATAAGAAAGAAATTTGTCCTGAATGAAATGAAAAGAAAAATGATTTCATATTTTTTCATAATTCTTGAAGAAAAGTAAATTATGAAAGCTTGTTTCGATGCAATCAATATCTTCAGAAATATTTGTCTTATTTTTTTCAAGTTGAGAAAACGCATTAAATCAGTAATTAACTCTCTCGACAATTACTCCACCGTATTTTATTATATGCTTTTGTAATAAGCTTTTTGCCTGAATCCAAGACTAAAAACTGAATGAAAATCCAAGTATGTGCCAATTCGAGCAAGAAATAATAATTTGATAAAGAAAAAGGTTTTCTTTTGACGATGTATGTTTTATGTCTAACAAATACCCAAAAGATATATTCTAAAGAAATTTAGTTCTTTTATAAGATTCAAGTTTGGATAAATATATATTTTCTCAGATACACTTTGATAAATTTTTATTAATTTATAGAGTTAGCCGTTAATTTATATGGTACTCCTTTCCCTCTCAGAAATAGTAATTATTGTGCAAATTGATATTTAATTTACACAGGAATTATACTAAGCTTTTTATCTGAATTCGAGAGGTTCTACTACTCTGTTATGAGGGTTACAGGGTCAAGTTACGAACACAAAGGTCCCCGGTTTTATCCCAGGCATTGTCAAAGAGCGTCTTTCTCTCAATCATCCTATATTGGTGTCAATCACGGAATCACGATCACGGAAATAAATTGATCCTGGACAAATAACATCATTACATGATTTCGCATGGTACCCTGGTTTCGCATTGGCTCATCAGAGTGAAAAGCAACTACAAAGCTCGAATTATCCTTCATGACGAGAAAGTCATTAATATCTAGGATATGCGCTGGCCAGGTGGCCGAGTGGTTAGCGTGTCTCACTGCGGAGCTGACGGTCGCTGGTTCGAATCCTGCTCAGGGCATGGACGTACCTTTCTCTCTCTCTGTGTTTTATGTCCTTACTCCTTTGTGTGTGTGATTGTGTGAATGTGACCCGTCCTATAAACAGGTTTGTGACTGTGTGACGTGGGCGACGCTGCTCCGCCACGTGTGGTTTCGCCACGTACCCACTGGGTAACGAGAAGAGAGTAGCATTTCTGTGGCCAATGGGACAATCCCCAAGTGCCCACCATTAAAAAAAATCTAGGATATGCACTTTCCACTATTTTCTGGTCCAGTTCATTGATTGATGAGCATTTGACCTATGGCTAGCATCACGATGTTTTTTTTTTCATCTCTGCTTGCTAACTCTTACAGATATTTTGCGAAAAAGAATTTATGGTGTTAACTACCAGACAAATTTATTTTTTTGATCAGTGGCAGGAACATTTTTTTCTGCTTCTGTTCGTACTAGATTCACTGTCCGTATTCTAGTGGTTGGTTGGTTCTAATGCCACTTGCCACACGGGCAAGTCTGCTTGGTGAATCCGAGGAAATTTAAGGCAGAGTGTGTGATTCCTGTTCTTCAGTGGTGCCATCTATGGCCAAGAATTCGACTTCTGACACTTCATACGTTACACCTGTTTACAAGGCGAACCCATTCATTGACTTGAATCAGAGAACGATCGATCTCCAATCCATTACCCCCAGAGGTATTGATTTGTTATGGGAACATGGAGGACTTTGCGACTCGACAGAATTTTAACGCGCATCAGTCACCAACTACACGTGGAGTCTTCGGCCCACGGGGTTCGAACCCACGAATTCTCGGACATGGGCCCAGCGCCTTACCGTCCAGGCTATCCCGACCACATTCTTGTGGTGAAATCTTGTAAAGAAGACTACATGATATAAATAATTAATGGTGGTTAGCGTTTTTTAAATATTAATTCATTAAAAAGCTAATGAATCATTTACTTTTAAAATATTTTGAAGTATTTCAATCACCATGACACCCGAAAAATTACCGGTTAAGTGGTCAAGTGAAATCGTCTATGGGACGAGATCACAAGTGTTAAATAAAAATACGTGACCGCATGAGAATTCCCATAATTGTTAAGAATTTTCATATACTTTATTCTTTTTTGAACTAACATATAAAGAATTGGAAAATCTATTAAAACTTCAATTTTAAATGAAACGTGTTTTCAGTTTAATTGTTATAATTAAGACATTATTAAAACTTTAAAACGAAAAAAAAAATACAAAAAAAGTATACGAATAAGAAATAATAGGAATAAAAATTAGTATGAAAGAATATACGAATAAGATTCAGTTCTTGAATAAAAATTTGGACAAATAATATTTACAAATATTAATTTATACGTGTAAGAACTTATACCAAAAATATAAATACTAAATTTTTCTTATAGAAAGTAAAAATCTAATAATTTATAATAAAAATAATCAACTATAAGATCTCCAAGAAAAGGATATTGCTTTTGCTTCAAAAAAAGTTTTGTTATTACGTATACGTTACATTAAGGAATGTTTTAGAATTTATTATCTTAGTAAATTCAAAGAATTTTTAAAGAAAATAATAATTTTCCATAATAAGCAAACAATATTTAACTCTGGAAAGAAAGAAATGTCGTAAGTATATTATAAGAAAAATGCATTTAAATTTATGCTATAAGACTCTTCGTTTACTGAGATCCTTAAGTTAATTTTTCAACTAATCACTATTTAATACATTTTATTTATTTTCTTCCCCACTCACATAAAAAACTTGACATAAACTTGTACTGTAAATAATTCATACAATAAAAAATTTTTTTGTTGAAAATTTTCTATTTTACGAATATTTTGTTTGCTTGTTTTACGAAACATAAGTAAAGCACAATAGCACGTTTTGACCAAAAACATTACCCATGCATCATTATGCAATTTAGGTTCATAACTTTGATCACAAATAAACGTTGAATGAAAGAAATTATTTTTTCGTCACTTTCAGCAAAATGGGAAACGGTGCTAAGTGTTTATTTTACATTTTAAGATGGGAGAAAAATAGGACTAGGTTCTTAGAATATTTTTCAGATATGTTCAGAAATAATAATGAAAAAAATTTGATTTAAACATTCTAGCATAATTTTAAAAATAATCTATTTTTGGATGAAGGTGAACCAATATTATTCTCCTTACACTAGTAATTTTAAATCAACTTCAAAACCAACCTAATAAGTTAGGATCTCAAGATAATTCTAGGTTTTACAATTTTTATAGCCATTTTTAATTCTGCAGCTTTAAGAACCATTTTTAATTCCGAAACTGCCGATTTGAGAAGTGCATCCTTTTTCGTAGCTAAAGTGATCACCAAAGCCTGAAAAGCTTAATCTCTTATTAGAGAACGCATGAGATGAAGTAATTTTGATTGAGAAATTAGTAGATGATGTCACTTTGGCCAAAAGAGAGCAGTTCTTCAGAGAATGATGGTTCCGAGTAGGTTACAAAAGGAGCTGGGGATTGTACTGGGGTCGAAATTCTGTTGTAGTGCTGCCATCATGTAGTTCAGGGTTCAAAAACTAATGACTCACGGGCTACTAGTAATTAATTTGTGCGGCCCGCTTCCTCCTCTTAAGAAACTAAGCAGCTATAGTTTGATTTCTTAA